ACAACTTTCTTCAACAAAATAAACCAATAAATGCAAAACCCTAGGTCAGTGAAAGTAAGAAATTGCAACGAAGTTCCTATTTTGAATTTTTACTCGATATTAAATGTGCATAGCTTCGTTTATATTCACGTATAGAAAGACTAAGGGTGTATCTTATATAGAGCTCGTTTGAGCCACATTATAATGATAATGAGAATGAGAAATAGAACCGTTATGGATCCCACATCAGAGATAGAAATTCAAAAATGGTTGCTTGATGTGATGGATAACGGTCATATTTTTCATTTTAATGGAGTAAAAATGGGGCTCAAACAGGAACATAATATTTCGTAAGATTAAACACATTGATAGACGAATTTTAGTGTTTTTTCTTTCTCCTTCATACTATTCAATTTTGTACGTTCTATGTTACCCAATAAATCATAAGGACATAGAATACAAACATGAAGAATTTATCATTTGTGTTATTTAGTACGAGAGTTGTGTAAATTTACACATGCTTTTTTTTTTCATTTATATGAATTATGCATAATTGTATTGAATATTAATTGCCCTTCGTCGTAGAATTTAGTATGCTAAATTTTTCTCTGATAAAAGTCACAACACTTTTATAATCTTACGATACGAATACAGTATAAAATTAACGCTGTTTTAACTCAAAAAATTGCACTCCAAAAAAAGATAAATATTATTCCCAGACATACAGTATTTCAATCTCAATTGTAATAAATAATCAAGATTGCAACATCGTATAACATGTTTGGTTTTAATAAGACCCTAACTATAGGGAACAAATGAGATTAGGGGTTTAGGTTACTTGCCTACCTTAACATACTAATAATATATAGTACTCATTAATAGTATATTAAATTGTGCATCTACTCCAATAATTAGTCAATTACTTTGTTACCTGAATTCAACAACATCAAAAAGTTAAATATTTCAATAAATATGAGGCAGCTAGGTAAATATCGACGTCCTTAGATTCGATCGAGAACATTTGGCTAAATTTGAAGTTTACTTATAAGTAGACAAGTAAGTTTTATATAAATATTTATATTTCATTGTCAAAGTTAAAAATAAATTAATTATGTAAAATGTGTTTGATTGTGATCATAAAAATTTTTCATTCATGACTTTCAAAATTATGTTATTTCACTAAAATGCTTATTAGAAAAATAACTTTCAGACACAGCCAAACTTGCTATCTACTAAAAGATCTAAACGATTAAATAATTTGTGATCACATCAATTCACGTTAGTTAAAATTCAATATGAGGTTGGAGATTTGTTTAGAGCTTTTTGAGAATGATTTTCTAAATCACGCATATTTTAGGACTCATAATTCTTTTTTACTATTTCAAAAAATATTTTTTTTATTTCAAAAATTATCTATCAAACAAGCTCTTAGTATATTGATAATTTCCAATTTATGAAAGGTTAGGATCATCAAACGGACTCAGATTGAAATATGATAATTAATGATTGACATATAGAACAATTAATTATATGACAATGTTAGTTTTAAGAGGCAATATGACCAACAACCAAGTCCACCAGGTTAAGCTTGAATTTTGGAAGTAGCGACAGCGAGTGAGATTTTAGTGTTGCGAGGGAAGAATTTGGAGCAAATAAAGTTTCATATAACAAAGATCCGTGCTTAGCTAACTCTCTAAGAAAGGTGAGTATAAATAACTAACATTTTATGTAGCCATATATATTGATAAAAAGTATTTTGACAAACAAATCGATCAATCTACAAGCTTGATAAACGTTCCAAAAGCCCATTCCTCAAAACTCGTACTCTTTCCTTCGATTCTTTCTTTCTTTCTAGTTATGAAAACGTCTTGCCATAACAATTCTTTTGTATGGTAGGATAAAATCAACATAGTACCTAAACTACCCAAGAAAATGAGAAGGAAAATAAAAATTCACCCCACCCCACGCCACAACCCCAAATTAAATAGTACCAAAGAAACCTACTAAAGCTTAATGAAATGATTAGCTCTTTTGATTAAGGCAAAGTGGTGTTATCATTTCAATGCACCAACTGCAGGCTGTATTGCCAGTTTTTCCCTCTAGTTCCTTGATTCCTGCAAAAATCACGCCTTAATCACTGTTAATTAGTTTGCTTTAAACTAATATCATCATTATGCCAAAAGTTAAGCATAAAGCTATATCAAAAGAAAAAAAATATAATAAACATTCACATTAAAAATGAATTTTTATCTTTGAATATACCACTCACCTACCATTTTTCCACACACACTAAACCCAAAAAAGGAAGAAAGCAAAGGGCATCTATTAATGTTGTCATTGTTTGTCTAAGGTAGACGGAAAATTTTCCCAACTTCTCTAAGTCATTTTGCCTTTTGTTCATCTATCATTGTATTTGTAGGGTAAGCATTGTTATTTATTTTTCGAAGCATAAAACGAATGACTCAAGCTAAATCAAAATCAATTGATTATCAGTTAATTCTATTTGATTCAATTTTATTACTTACCACAAAATTATAAGATTCTTATGGAATTCTCAGTGATACTCTGAACTAAATCGAATCCAACTGTAATCGCTCATAAATGCGACGATCTATTATCCATGAATGTGTGAATAATAAGTATATTCTTATGTAAAAGTATTTCAATGAATTATAATAAGTTAAAATACATTAATATGGAATGATTTAACCAAAAATAAAAAATAAAAAAAAATTTGAAGTTAAGCAATTATTTTACTTCGCTTTTACTTTTTCCAGTCATTTCAGCCTTTTATAAGGCAGTGGCTAGCCTATTATCCCTTCAGACCTGCCCTTGACCCTACCTGTCCAATAATGCCCCACCCTCTACACATTTAATGTGGGTCCCACTTTGCTTTCTCCTCTATTTGTTTGTTTTGAAGGATTTGAGTGCGTAATAGTGACTATTATTTCAATCATACAACAAAAGTCACAAAAGTATGGCTGAGAAATAATTGGGTGCATTTTCTTGTGCTTCCAATAAGTCCTTTTATATAATTTTTTTTCCAATAACTCATTTTATAATTTTTATTTTTATTTACACATACATTAGTCATCATTGAAGCATTTAAAGAAAAATAATAGATAGAGTCGAGATTACATGAGCGGGGGTCACAATGACCAAGCTCATGTGATTGTTTATAAATATACATTTTTATAGTATCATAAGATCATTATAGAAACTACATACATTCTATTCAATACTAAGAAATTAAGGAAATTAGTAACGTAATTATGGGGAGTCGGAGACTCAAGCCCCTTAAACAAAACAATGACCAATCTTTTCATCCTTGTGTTAAACTTTGAACTTAGTTCTAGAAACTAAATTAAGAATTATTTTTCTAGAAAAATAGATTTTATTAATAATACAAATAACTTTCAAATACATGTTTTACAAAAATAAGTAATTTTATTCACTGCCGAACGTGCTTTAGGGATTATTTGACAAAGTTTCAGTAGATTTTGATAAAAGTTGTTGAAATATATTGTAGAAAAGTTATATATCCTAATTAAATGTATTGTTAAAATTAATTATTACTTTGATATCAAATTTTTTTTTTTTTAACAATTTTTAAGTTATCCCAAAATAAACACTTAGTGATAAAATGTCTTTCAAATAATTAATTCGTGAATCATAACAACGACCAAGCAATTAGAGGACAAAATGAGCTTCACAAATTTCAAGAAAAATTGAGTATGAAAATCTATGCATTGGGACACTAATAAAATTGTTGTTATGTCCTTATGTTTGTACTTAAAATATATAAAATGAAATATATATTCCTTTTTCGCATGAAAATGGACAATTTTCTTTTTATTTATATGCTTTTTAGAGAATATTTTGTTCTTTATATTATTTTCTCCACAAAATTATCTTTATCACATATCTAGAAAATTGTCTTTTAACCAAATTTTTTTTTTTTTTTAAATGAGTTTCGAGGCTTTTAACTTATGCCCATTGAGAATGACATGACTGACAGATAACATATAAGAGCCCACTTGCATGGAATCCTAGATGTATGTATTATTATTCTACATTGGATATTTTATTTTATTCTCGAAAATTCAGTGTATGTTCGATGTATGGGCTATGCTGGACGAACAAGGTTATCTGCTCATTCAGGACGGTAAAATGGCGCCTCCCTATTGGAGGAGGCACCCGTGGGCCCAACGCCCCTTCCAATAAGGGGGCGCCAATTAGGTCCCGTGGCCCTGTCCAAACAGAATTACCCTTGATGTATAGTTCTAAGATGACTAATAGTATATTATACATAAGAATTTAATTTAATTTTTTCTTTAATATTATTATGTATTTTTTAATCCTTTCTATCACATGTACTAATAATATTATTTTGTGGAACGGTTAAATTTTAGGGTTCGAAACTTTCTTAAAAATTATTATTGTGCTTGTAAAAGATTATTTTAGTTGAAGATATAGTAATTAAACTAACATATATCTAAACAACAAATTTTAACTTGATATTATGACCATTCTTTGTTAATTTCATTATTTATGTGTTTATTCCAAATAGAATGTAAAACAAGTTAAAAAAATGGATACATACGTAGATGTGTTAAAATACGTTAGATTTTTTAGATGCGAACCGATTTGGTATTAGAAGCGCGACCATTGCATTGAAGGCCAATGGATTAACATGCTTTTACTGATGGATCGTGCTGTGCTCAACTAAAGTATCCTAAGCATACATATCTCATAAAAACAATATTTTTAAAAGAAGATATAAAACAGACAGCATGTCACTCACCCATACATAGTTCAAAATTTACCCAATTTATACCTCTTAACTATACATGCAAGAGAAATAAAGAAAAACTCACAAAAGATATTATTCCAAATATCAACATATGCATTATCCACGAACTTACACATACAAATACAAATGCAAACACAGTCACAGATACACACAATTCACATACACATAAACACACATAATACATATATATAAAGAATAAAACTTCAGCAGACTAGCAGTTGCAGGCTGAGCCTCCCAACAGTTACATTGACTCATGACTTCTCATTTCTCGTGAAGCTAAAGTTGGATTTTCATATTGCATTCACAACTCTCTCTCCCTCTCCGACAGTGCACAAAACACCTGACCCGTGAACTCAGTTACCCCAAACATAGTACTATTGTTGTTTCATCGTCTTCATTTCTCTCATCCACTTTCTTGCAACCTTGTTCTAGTTGACATAGACCCCTCATCCTCAACTCCACTTCTTTTTGTACAAAGATTTCCATTTTTTTGGTCTGATTGTATTGTCATCTTCACATTTTATTTTCTTGAATATCAACATCTCTGGAACAAGCCCAGTTCAAGAAAAATGAGACCTTCATGTGGGTCTTTTGAGCAAAATTAAAAAACCATTTAGTCTTTTGATTCTTCTTCTGGTTTTTTTTTTTTTTAATATACATTGAAGGCAACCCAAGAATGGCAATTTTAAGTTTGTTGAATATTTTGCTTTTTGGGTTGTTCTTGAGGTCTCAACTTGTGATTGCTCAGGTTTTTTACGATGAAATACCATTATTAGCCATTGAGAAAGAGTTTAGATTATCTGGGTGGGGCGTTAATAACTCAGATTACTGTTCTTGGCCTGGAATAATTTGCAGCTTAAACAATTCAATGGTGGAGAGGCTTGATCTTTCTGGGCATGGGCTTCAAGGTAATTTCACTCTAATTTCTGAGCTCAAAGGACTAAAATGGCTTGATCTTTCAAACAATAATTTCCATGGAATAATCCCACCAGTTCTTGGGAATTTATCTCAGCTTGAATTTCTTGATTTGTCATTTAATAAATTTGATGGTTCAATACCTGTGGAATTCAGTAGACTACGAAATGTTAGAGCTTTGAATCTTTCGAACAATTGGCTAACTGGAGCGATTCCTAATGAGCTTGAGAGTCTAGAGAATTTGCAGGAGTTTCAAATATTTACTAATAGATTGAATGGTTCTATCCCATTGTGGGTGGGAAATTTGACTAATCTGGAAGTTTTTACAGCGTATGAAAATGAGTTGAGTGGTACGATTCCAGATAATTTAGGTGCATTTTCCGGACTTGAGTTATTGAACCTTCATTCGAATAGACTAGAGGGGCCAATTCCTGAGAGCATTTTCTCTATGGAGAAGCTTGAAGTTTTGGTTTTGACAAAGAATTTATTGGCCGGCAGTATTCCTGAATCGATTGGGAAATGTAAAGGCCTTTCGAGTATTAGGATTGGGGACAACAAGTTGATTGGGAGCATTCCTACAGATATTGGAAATATCAGCAGCCTTACATACTTTGAAGCTGATAACAATGATCTCTCGGGGGAGATTGTCTCCGAGTTTGCACAATGCTCTAATCTCACTCTCCTTAATTTAGCCTCAAATGGCTTGACTGGAACCATCCCGAGTGAGTTTGGAGATCTCAGCAATCTGCAGGAGTTGATTGTCTCTGGGAATAGTCTGTTTGGAGAGATCCCCACATCAATTCTCAGGGGCAAGAATCTTAACAAGCTTGATTTAAGCAATAACAGATTTAATGGCTCCATACCGGAGAGCATTTGCAACACGTCTAAACTGCAATACCTGCTGTTAGGTCAGAATTCGATGAGAGGGGAGATACCTCATGAGATCGGGAACTGCACAAAACTGCTTGAATTACAGTTGGGAAGTAACTATCTGACAGGAAGTATTCCTCCCGAGATTGGTCATATAAAGAACTTGCAGATTGCACTTAATTTAAGCTCGAATCATCTCCATGGACAATTGCCCCAAGAGCTTGGAAGACTTGACAAGTTGGTTTCTTTGGATTTCTCCAATAATCAGCTCAGTGGAAATATTCCGGTGACTCTGAAAGGCATGCTCAGCTTGATAGAGGTTAATTTTTCGAATAATCATTTCACTGGTCCTATACCTTCCTTTGTGCCGTTCCAAAAGAGCCCAAATTCGAGCTTTATTGGAAACAAAGGGCTCTGTGGTGAACCATTAAGTATTTCGTGCGGAAGTTTGAATGCTTATGGTCATAACGATTACCATCACAAGGTCTCGTACAGGATCATATTAGCTGTTATTGGTTCTGGTTTGGCAGTTTTCGTATCTGTGACAGTGGTCGTTTTGCTGTTTATGATGAGGGAGAAACAAGAAAAAGAGGCCAAAGATTCGGGAATTTCTGCTGATGAAACTAATAATAAGCCAGTGATATTAGCAGGAAATGTTTTTATCGAAAACCTCAGGCAGGCAATAGAGTTCGAAGCAGTTGCAAAAGCAACCATGAAAGAGTCAAACAAGCTCAGTAGTGGAACGTTTAGCAGTGTCTACCGAGCGGACATGCCTTCAGGGATGATTTTATCCGTCAAAAAACTGAAATCGATGGATAAAACTATAATCCATCATCAGAACAAGATGATCAGAGAACTCGAAAGACTGAGCAAACTCTGTCATGACAATCTGATGAGACCTATTGGGTTTGTAATCTATGAAGATGCTGTTCTTTTGTTGCACCATTACTTTCAAAACGGGACATTGGCCCAATTTCTTCATGACTCTACGAAGAAACCGGATTATAAACCAGACTGGCCATCAAGACTTGCCATTGCCATCGGAGTGGCAGAAGGGTTGGCATTCCTTCATCACGTGGCCATTATCCACCTTGATATCTCATCCAGTAATGTATTTCTAGACTCCAATCTCAGGCCTTTGGTCGGTGAAGTTGAAATATCGAAACTCCTCGACCCATCCAGAGGGACAGCAAGTATTAGTGCCGTTGCTGGTTCATTTGGATATATTCCTCCAGGTACCCCTTTGGAATGCTTATCAATGATTTTCTTCCTTCCATTATAATCTGTCTAATTCTTTTTGTGTATAACAGAATATGCATATACAATGCAAGTTACAGCACCTGGAAATGTTTATAGCTATGGAGTTGTGTTGCTCGAGATCCTTACAACTAGACTACCAGTTGATGAGGAATTCGGTGAAGGCATAGATTTGGTGAAGTGGGTTCATACTGCACCTGCGCGAGGGGAAACCCCAGAGCAGATTCTTGATGCAAGGCTAAGCACCGTTTCGTTTGCTTGGAGAAAAGAAATGCTTGCAGCTCTAAAGGTGGCCCTGCTTTGCACCGAAAGCACACCAGCCAAACGGCCTATGATGAAAAAGGTTGTTGAAATGCTTAAAGAAATCTTGCAAAACTAAGTGTTGCGGAATTCATCAGAGTTCGTCTCTTAATTCCCAACTCTAGCTGCCCATTTCTGTTAACTCCCCCGGTTAGATATCGCTGCCTTCCTATCCTTTTTCAGTTGTGTATCTAGAACTTCTCGAGAATGAAAGTTGAAATGATAGAGAAGACGAATTAGCAGGACGACATAAAAGAGAGTCCTATCAGATTAAACACTGTATTATTGCTATATGGTAGGCCTTGAAACATGTAATGAAATATTGAGGGGTTGCATCTTAATCTTCCTCATAAACTTCGAATGTTTTTAGAGAATTCCCCACAAAATGGATTCTTCTTTTCGACTTGGATTCACTTTCATAAACATGAATGCAATTGTTGCAGATATGATTTGTTTTCCTTTCTTCTTATAATCCATCTTTTTTGTCTACAGAGTTCTCTGTTTTTTGCTTATTTTATTAGCAAGAAATGTTAGTTCATTGGTGTCTACCAGAGTTTAGGTATTGATATTGTGCAGAATTCATTAACAGTTACACCAAGGATCTGCATCTGATGCAAATCGCGTGTACCAGTTGTGCTGAACGGAGATTCTCTAGAAAAAATATGGGATGGCTACATCTTTGAGGTAGCTAAGAGATTTTTTCCTCTTCTCATCTTAAATGGAAATGATTCTTCTACATAACTGATTTTATAATTAGGTGATATACAATGAAAAGGTGCTTCCATACACTCTTAGTGACGTTTGGTATTGAACAATATGATAGACGAGATCTTTAACTTCTTTTTATTTTTTAATACGAACTTTATTACCAAACAGCCATTGCATTTTTGAACGTCTCTTTTTTCTTTTATTTTTTCCCCTAAGTACTTTTGTCCTTATTCCATCTTCAACAATAAACATGTCTGGCTGAGCGTAAGTTATATGTAAACAAGTTTTTAAATTGTTCAGAGTTAAAGATAAGTTACCTATTTTTAGCAGAAGAAATTAGAAACTTTTTTAGTAAAAAAGCAACATTCAAACACGCATGAAAATTAAAAAAAAGCTACTTGTTAGAGATCAAGATTCTCATTATCAAATAGTGACATAATTTTGTCGATCGTCTATATCTCTCGCTCCTCGCGCAATGGACCAGAATAAGATGCAAGTTCTTTATGTGATTTTTCATTTTCACAAAAAAACACCTTCAGTACACTTTACTGACAAATACAATGGGAGAACAAGTACATGTACATTTCCAACATGATGAAAGTGAAACATTGATGAGAACGAATGACTGGAACTACTTGTCTACATCAGTGAGGCTAAACTCTGATGAAAAACCTTCAATCTTGCTGAAATTCAGCAAGAACAACTGGAATATGCCCTGATGCATACATAAAAATTCACACACTGTCAATCCTGATCATAGCACTGACTTTTCCTATACCAAATTTTGTATGGCTTATCTTCCTAATGTCAGAAGCCGAATCTGCTTGCAGAATGGGAGCACTGGAGAATTTACGAATCTCTTCAATCGTTTCAACATCCAGCAGCTTTTAGAAAATTATCGTATGGACTTGATGCTGGAAGCATAAAGGGTTGTGGATGATGCTTATATTCAGCTGCACGTAACATGGAAACCTCGCCAATTGATGGTTGACGAGGAATTTTGGATACTTCCAGGATTGGTCTCCTGTCCTGCTATTTTAAATTAGTGTAAGAAATTTAAAGAATCTGAAAAAAAAAAAAAGAAAAAAAAGAAAAAAAGGAGAGAAATGAGGCAAACTCATTGAACAGGATGAATCTAATGCATAATGTACAGGTGTTCTGTATGTAAATATTGTAATGTGGTGCCTAATCATATTGTAGGTGATTTTTATTATACACAGATACCCAGTCGGCATAATTTATCAGAGCATATGGAAGTCGAGATCCAGACAAAAAAGAAAGTACCTTTTGGAAACCCAAATCAGCAAGGACATGTGAAACCGTCTGTTTATCGGCTTCATCGGAATTCTTTGAGGATATACTCGAAAGACTTCCTCGACTATGTCGATTTATTAGAGACATTTTCTGCTGCTTTCCCATCAAAAGTGACTCGCAGTGATTTGCCATTTCATTATAAGATGCATCAGGTCCAGTGCATACAGAAAGTCTCCCAACTTCTTGTGCAGTCTCCAAGACCTGTGCACGTACAAATTTTTAAGCATTAAGATAAGTTTTCCATAAAAACTTACATTTTAATCTCGAACTCTATTTTCTGTGGGATGACATCGAGAAATCATCCAACTGAATAAAGTAAAATATTAAATCAAGTTGGAACATTAAATGATTAGACCTGATAGTGACTGAATGCTATCGCATAGTATATATTAAGGTGATAACTTTATCAATTAGATAAGAGAAACTAAGCCAATTTCAAGCTAAAAACTAAAAAGCAATGTAGGAAGTGGAGTGAGAAAACTAATACCCCAAAAAAAAAAAAAAAAAAAAAAAAAAGCACCGAGTAGCTTAGAGGGAACTGTAGCATATAATATTGGGGAGACGTTGCAAAATATGTTGGCTTTTGTGGAGTCGCTGAGAAGAGTTTTTCTATTACAAGGATAATTTGACTATTCATTTCTTTGTATTAAACCGCTCTAGCTTCCTATGCTAGATAAATGATTCTGGGGGAGCTATTTTTCTCTGTGTATATGAGGTAAAAATTGAGGGTGTGACATCTCCACTTAAAAACTTTCCAATTCTCGAGAAACCTACAACGTCAAGTAGACTTAACTCTCACATAATACCTACTAATGAGCACCTGACACACAATGCATGAATATTTCTAGTTAAATTTCAAGGAATTTAATTGGGAAAGAGTTGTAAATTTGAGAAGGTATCACACTCAAAAGTAGGAGCAGCGCGCTTCTTCAAAAGACATTTAGCAAATATAAAATTTAAGTATTCACTTTCAATGATATGCTCCACAAGAATTAAGAAAGATTTGCCACTCGGGGATCTTTATTTGCTGAAGTAAATAACATCACATAGAACTGCATGGAAGAGTGACTTACAGATTCGAGAAGTTGATCAACACTCAAAAAGTGTGGAATTTCATTGGCCAAATTTGGATCGTGTGCAAAACTGCTTCCAACTGAATCTGGAAAATAATAGTCTATTCCAATAATAGAAGCAGCCTGAATCATGGTAAGAGAGAAGTCATGAGGTCTCAAAAAATAGAAGGCAATGCACTATCTCAAAGTAATTTACCTTTTCTACAGATTTATGTTTATTTGAGTTCAGCTGATGCACTCTATTCGGAGTATCTGTGAACAACCGTGCTCCCATCGGACAAACATCATCAGGTTTAAATTCCTTGAGCAACTGATCCTGTATTGTGGATTCTTCGAACTGCACAATATAACATTCAATGCCTAGTTATTGTTTGAACTGATATATTAAACAAGGATTCCTTGTGCTTACACAGTCTAACTAAATTCTTACATCAGATAAATTATCCAAATTCTTCACTATAACAGAAACTAAGGATTCCTGAGTCGGGTCCTCAGTGAGTTTCATTTCTGAAAGACATTTCAGAGCAGAATTATCGTCTTCTTTGGATCCATACATAGTTTTTGCATGATCAGATCCTGCATTAACAGTCTGCAACTTGCAGTCTTTGACTAAAGACAAAAACGGATCAACCTGAGAAATGGAAAAGATAAAATAAAGAAGACACGAAAATGATAAGAAACATCTGACCATAATAAGACAGTTGAAGTTAATTTCACTTCATCCTGCTAAAATAACGAAAATTCTTTAGTTAATTATTCATATCATCAAGCTAGGCAAAAAGGCCTATTGTTGGATCAGCTGGTTCTGATTTATAAAGAAATGATAAATTAAAATAAAAATAAAAATACACCTCATCCAACAAGATACATTTTTGCCTAATTTGGAATATTAAAATGATGCACAAACGGATTCATGCCACATCAACATTTTTGTTAGCCATGTCAACATTTCTGTTAGTTCAGCAATACCGAGGTAGACATAGTAACTAAGCTGAGACAAAATAAAAGTTCAGAGATTAACTTATTATAAGAAAATTTGGTGACTAAAGTGAAGCAATGCTTTTAGGCTGGAGCAAGCATTTTTTTATAAGCCAAGCTTCAGGACTTTACCCAGTTAAAAAGAAAGAAAAGCTTATAGGATAGGGAACATACCATTTTATCGGAAAGCATAGCCTTTACACACGGGACAATTGGAATGCTGTATGCCTTTGATGCAAAGATAATCATAGAAGCTGATAGTACATAAAGGGATCTTCGACGTGACGGTGGCAGTGGTCCTGAAAATATAGAAGATTGAACCTTGAGATAAACAAATGAAATCCTTTCTATTTCAATCCATTCACATGAAGTCATTAAGCACATGTCTGGTGTGGTTGAAATTAATTGTTAAATTTGACTTCGATCAAAATCTTCATTTTAATCCCCACTGGCTAAATCTCTAAGAAATGTTGTGAAAATGTCATACAAACTAGCAAATAAAATTATAATTGTGTCTAATTTAAAAAAAGGACGCAAATATGTCCAACTTGTTCTTCCATAGCATACAACCAAATGTCTAACACTAATTTAAGAAAACTTTCTTTTATTATTAGTTAAAACATTATAAAGAAATCCTTGATTTTTGAACACACGGAGAGATACATGCGTGATATCCCTTACTAGTTATATGCGTGATATCCCATACCAGTTATATCTAACCAATTAATATCATCATTTTCTACCATGTCTAGAGAATTTTAAATTATTCACAAGCATAAAATGGCGTATTAATGAAAGATGTAGAACTAACATAGTAAATGAACAATGAAAGAACGAAATAGATGGAACTAGCATTTATCAAATGTAATCCATAGAGAAATTTTTGAGATGAACTTAAAGTCGGAGTTACGAAAGTATAATGGTTCATCGACTTTTTCCTGGTTTTTAACAGGGTTTTTTGCTGCTCAATAACTGTTAAAAACATAGACATTGTAGTTAATTAGAGAAAAAATAAAAATAGACCTCTTTCAAATTTTCATAAAGTATATATATATAAATTCTTGAATCCCCTCACTTGTATGGTGGATTCATTTTAATCAAAGGTCTAATGTATATACAATTTTTATAAATGGGTGAAGGCAAGACTTAAACTCATGAGATCACTCGCATACCTGTTGAATTACCTTATCTAAAACCTTAAATTTTAAGAGACGGAGCTCGTTTATATATCTAAATTTATTGTGTTTAACTTTAAAAATATGAAGTTCGATCTTTTCTCTCTTCTATGTTCTTTAAATACAAAGTCAATTCTTTCCTGTCAATAAC